CTCTGTCTTAAAAATAAAAAATAAAAAGAGCAGGAGTGTAGCTCAGTGTTAGAGTACTTGACTAGCACAGGCAAAGCCCTATAGGTTCAATTCCAAGCACTGCAAAAAAAGGAAAAGAGGAGGGAGGAAGGGAGAAGGGGTGGGAAGAAAGGAGGGAAGACACTTATGCAAGAGCCTACATGCAATATGCATCAGATGTATACAATTTAAGAATGCTAAACAGACCGAGGGTAGAATTTCCCTTTGGCAGTAAGAAGAGGATGACACTTAGGGATATGTGTGGGAAATTCCAACTCATTAATATTTTTTTTCTTAAGGTGGGTGCTAGGCTTGTGAGTTTCTCTTATTATTCTTCATACTATTTGCCTTTAAATGATTTTTAATATGTACACATAGTAAGAATTAATAAGTGAACAGTTTTTAAGGTAATTATTATTCATCAAAAAGTATTCTGCTCCTGCTCCCTGGACTCATGGTCTAGGCGCTAGAGAGGATGTGAGGGTGAGGAGATTCAGTCTTTCCAATCCCAGCTAAGAGCTCCAATCTTGCCATGTTACAGTGCCCTTATAACTGTGGTACCTTATAACTGTGATACTAGTCAGAAGGCAGAAGGGACCTGAAGAGTGAAAACCAAGAAAAGAGACACCATAACTTTTTAGAGAGACACTCCAATGTTTCATCAGAAAGGCAGCAACTGAAATGGATCTCTAACACTAAGCAGAGGCTTGGCTTTGTTTTTGTGGTACTAGGGATTGAACCCAGGGACAACTGAGCTACATCCTCAGTATTTTTTTTTTTTTTAATTTTGAGACAGGGTCCCACTAAATTGCCCAGTCTGGCCTTGAACATGGGATCATCCTGCTTCAGCTTCCTGAATAGCTAGGATTACCACTCTCGGCTCTCAGGAGAGTTTTAAAAAGTAGAGAAAACAAAAATGTGCTTCCACTAGCAATGATAGCATGGGCAAAGGCATCACAGTTCAATGAGGCTGATCACAGGCAAAGAGACAGAATGCAAACTCAGAGGAGTCCAGGGAGGAGGTGATGTAAAAGAACAGTCAGCACAGAAATACTCTACATATATTGAGAAAACAACATCCAATTTCTTTCTCTTGAAGAATTTTCATGGAATTCTATGGGGACAGAAACCAGATTTTAGGGTTTAGTAAACATTAGAAACTACCTAAATGGGCTTGCCCCATGAAGGCCAGCTAAACCCTCAACCCCATCTCAAGTGTAAGCTTCTACAGCTGTGCTCTTCAAGAGCAGTCACCAGACCACTTATAGCCAAGTCATCTGGCATTTTCACTAAAATGCAGATTCCCAAGCCCTGTCCCGAACCAAGTCACATCTTTGGGATGGGTCCCAAAAGCTGCAATTGTAGCAAGTTGACCAGATGGTTATAGAAAAAAATAATAGTAGTAAAGAAGGAGATGGTGGGGGGAGCTGGGGATTTAGCTTAGCGGCACAGCACCTGCCTGGCAAGCACAAAGTCGTGAATTCGATTCCTAGTACCGGAAAAAAAAACAAAAAAATAAAAAAATTTTTAAAATGGAGATGGGGGATACAGTAGACAACTCTTTAGAGACACATGTGTACAATACAAAGGACAGCAGAGAATGGTCTTTGAATGCTCTGGCGACATCAAAGTGAATTGCTAGTCAGGGAACTTTTAGAATATTTCTAGACAAAGGGAAAAGGAAAGCAAACTAGTGGGTGAGGGAAGCACAGATATACCTCACAGAAGGTGCAAGCTTTCCCTTAAAGGTTCAAGGTTCCAGAAAAAGCAAAAGGACCAAAGTCAAAAATGTAAGTGGCATTGTCAGGCAGGCAAACAAGCTGAGACCAAGAGCTGCTTTTCCGCAAATAACACAGTCCCTTGCGTGTTTTCAGAAAGGGCCAGAGATGAGCAGGCACACCGATGACAAGTATTGTTTCCCCTGATGCTGCCTCTTCTAGGCACCCCTGCCCTGGGAAATATAATAAAACTTGAAAACCATTCTTGTAGACAGCAAAGGACTAGGTTAAGAAAAGAAAAAAGATGTCTGCACAAAATATTTTTTTAGACATAAGGGGAAAAGATGCAAAGAATGAAGCTGTCAAATAAATAATAATTCAGACCATCTGCCCACATGACTTCACCACCTGCCCACATGACTTCACCACCTGCCCACATGACTTCACCACATGGCTGTTTCAAACCAGTCTCTTTGGGAAACAGTACAGAAAATCCTCAAACGACAGTTATTATATGGCCCATCAACTCCACTCCCAGGACTTTATCCACGGGAAACAAAATCAGGCAGAAACATGTGCACATGTTCACAGGAGCATTATGCAGAATGGCCAAAAAGTAAAAACAACCTGAATGTCCATCAACAGATGAACAGATACACAAAATGTGATATAATCATACAATAGAATATCATTCCACCATAAAAAAGAGTGACACGCTGATACGTGCTACAACACAATTCTTAAAAATATTACACTAAGTGCAAGAAGCCAGACATAAAAGGCCATGTATGACTCCATTTATACCAATGTTCAGAATAGGAAAATCTACAGTGCCAGAAAATAGATTAGTGGTTGTCTGTGGCGGGGGGCAGTGATTCCTAAGGGTATGGTGTTTCTCTTTAGGGTGAAGAAAATGCACTGGAATTAGTATATACTTTGTGTATATAGAAAAAACTACTGCATCGTATATTTTAAAAAATTAAAAGTAAACCACGAAAATATTTCAAACCAGACCTTCAAATGACTTGTACTGGAAAAAACATGCGGGTACCACGCACACACACAATACCATTGTTCCACTTGCCCATTAATAAGCTGCTCTTATGAAATAGTTACATTGAAATGGTGCCAGATTGGACACTAACCCACATAAAATCAGTCCACTCATATTCACATGCTCAGAAGAATAACAATGACAATTAATAACAGCTAAACTGTATTGAGTGTTTACTATGTGTCAGATACTACATTAAGCACTTGACACACATTATCTTCTTTCATTTCTCACTGCAATCCTTTTAGGTATGTGGTATTATCATCCCCATTTTACAGATGAGGAAATTGAAGCACAAATAAGTTTAATAACTTGTGCCTACTCATCCAGTTAGGTGACTCTGACAAGGCAATCTGATTCATTATACTATGCTATGCTGCTCCAACCGGCCCTGTCTTCTTAAAATCACTTGCACAATTCACTGATTTGCAGCCAAAATACGAGAGGGCCTAGATTTTTGTTTTTTGTTTTTTTTGTCTTTTTGAGACAGGGTCTCGCTATGCAGTTCAGGCTGACCTTGAGCTCACTTTGCAGCCCAGGCTGGCTGCGAACTCTCAACGATCCTCCTGCCTCAGCCTCCTGAGTGCTGGGATTACAGGTGTGCGCCACCACGCCCAGCTGTATGAGAGGGCCTAGATTTTAAAAGAGCCAAAACTATTAGCTGAAGTAGCAATCCTAGACAGAACACTAGAAGCACCCAAGGCTCTGAGGATGAGGCTAAGCGAAAGGCTGAATTTCAAGGCAACTAAACGTTTGCAACTTGAGTCTATAACTCAAAGCACGAAGTTCTAGATTCTTACCCACTACCTCTTAAACGAAGGGTAGATGACTCATTTTCTTCCTACCCACAGTAATCTAGAAATCTAAGTAAGTACTATCAGCAAAAACAATAAAAAATATTGTGCATTATACGTATATATATCACATACGCCATACATGTGTGCCCACTAAAAAGTAAACTTAAAGTAGATAATAAATTCTAAGGCCTAATCACAAAAGAGGAAGGTGAACAAAGGGCAGTGTATTCAAAGAAGACTGCTTGAGAAGACCTCAGAAGAAGATTAGGAAGGAGCAGCAAGGCAAAAGGCAAGCTCTTGAGGCAAGCTTGGAGAGACTTAAGACTGGATTGTTCCTACAATGCAAGGGGCACAGAGTATTTAATATATTGGAAAATACTAGTGTACAAGCAGGAAGGGGTTATGTAAGAGCTCTAAAGTCAGGGGAAGTGTTTGGACTTGATAGAATAAGGAAAAGTCATGCTTTAGAAAGAGTTGTGAAAGCGTTATTACATTAGTTGAACACCTCATAAGAAAGAAACTCTGGCTTTAGAATTTGCTTACCCAAATCTCAAATTCCACCTTATAGACTCTCCTAGTTTGATTTTAAATATTCTGTTTCTGTCATATCTACCCCAAGGAATAACCTAGTGGAGTCTTAATTTCAGGAAAGTCGAGATATAAAATCACTGCTTAAAAATCACAGCCCTAAACAAAATTGTAGTGCAGGATTTCTTCACAAAGCCTCTTAGCATGTAGCTAATAAGCATTACAGTTCATCACATTTCATCGTTTAACCTACAATGAGTCAACATCCTACTGAACAGGCTATCCCTGACACAGTATGCATTTCCTCATGGAAAAAAAGATTTCCTCGGGCTCAGTCCCTGAAACTGTCTTCTTTCAGTAACAAAATTGAGTGAGCCGGTGCTGGGGATTTAGCTCTGCGGCACAGCGCCTGCCTGGCAAGGGCCAGGTGGTGAGTTCAATTCCCCGTCCCGGAAAAAAAAAAAAAAAAGAATGAGCAAGTAGCCAACTACTTTGCTGAGCATCATAGATACCCACAATTGCCTATTCCCCTATAATATACCTCCCAAATATCCAATCGCACTTGTTTTATGAAACCCCTCTGGAAACTTCTCTCCTGATCTTCTCTGTCCAGGCCCTGTGCTCACTTTCTTGGCACTTTCCACAGGCATCGACCTGGGTCTCAGTTGCCTCCAAAGATTTGTGCTTTTGGGCAAAATAATCTTACCCAAGGAACCTGAAAGTACAAAAATCTTACCCAAGATACCCGGTAAGGGACAAAAGGGCTGAGCTGGTCTCAGTGTGACCTTACAGCAAGCCCATCGCCCCAGTGCAGAGGGGCACAGAGGGATCCACACCCGCGGTGCCCGGCTCCGGCCAGGTGACCCCAGATCGCTGCGCACCCACCTGACCAAGGGCTCCTTCTCGGGCAAAGAGGGCTCCTCCAGGCACGGGCAGTGGCAGAAGCAGCAGGCGGTCCGCAGCCAGGCCCTCAGCCCCATGGAGAGCAAGGGTCCCCGCGGGCGCGGGAGTCTGAGCGCGTGATCGCGCCTGAGTCGCGGCCACCCCAGCTTCCAGGTGCGGGGACAGTTGCGGCCACTGCGTGTCAGGCCAGTCCGTGCGCATCACGCCGAGGCCGGGGACGCAGACGAGAGTGGAGGCGCTCCACGGCCCGGGGGTGCAGGCCGCGCGCCTCTCCGCCACTTAGATTTTGTTTGGAGCGTGTGTTTGGAGAGAGTTTTTTTTCTCCCTTTCTTTTAATTCCCCGGGCGCAAACTGGAGCGCATGCGTCCCCGAGACGCCCCGCTGCTGCCCTCTAAGGAGAAAGCTGGGACTCCAGGCAGAGTGCAAAATCCGAGGGCAGCGACCCACGGGTCGCCGGAGATAGGCTGGGTCTGGAGATAGGCGGCGAGGGGGAGCACGGAGCACGAGGCCGGCTGAATCTATTCATACTTTTTATTGGCTTCACTGCGAGAGGAAGTAGACGATCTTCACCACCCACCCATCCTCCCGCCTTCAAAGCAGAGTTTAAGACGTATTTTTAACCTGCCAGCCCCACGCTGAGTACAAATTAGGAAAAGACTATGGAGTGATGCATCAGAGAGGGAAGGGAGGTCTTTTGAGGTAATGTGTTCACAGTATATGATCTGAAAAGAAAAATGTTTTCAAACATCCAGTCCTGAAATAACCACCTCAAAATGACAACAACCTGTGAGTTTCCAGGGCTGTTTATTCCATGTTCATGTATTGGTGGAGTTGGGCATAAGGGCATTTTGTATGCTTGTATAAACTGTAAGTATAGTTAACACATATCTTCCTCCTTTTTTGCCCAAACTGCAGCACACTCCACACGTTTCTGCCTCTAGCTTGCCTCGTTCAATATGTCCTGGGAACCACAGTTACAATGCACACGTCTCTTCCTCTGCATTTCAACACTCACATGTTATGCGTTCTTATGGATGTCCAGATATATTTAACCAGACCCTCAATGATGGGCATTCAAATTAATTCCGGCCTTTTATTATTAAGAAAAAGCTACAGGGAACATCCCTAAACCAGTGTATGTAGGCATATCTGTAAGAATATCTACTGAATAAATGTTTGGCAGTTCATTTGCTGGGTAAAAGGCCCTTTTAATTTTGATGGATCTTCCTAAATTGCTCTCCAATTAATAAACCCAATGTACATTCTGAAATATGAAAGCATTTCCCTAAACTCCCTGTCCCACAATGCAAAGTGCAAGTTAGCATTTTGTCTTTGCCAATCTGATTTACTCAAAAAATGTTTATTGAGCATGTTATGTCCCAGGCATGTTTTGGAGACAGGAACATGGCAGTGAAGAAAACAAACAATCATTGCTCTGAAGGAGTAAACATTCTAGGGGGGAGTTAGATAAATAAGTACATTATTTAGTATTTTAAAAATGACATATGCTATGGAAAGAACTAAGAGGAGAGAGACAAGAAATGCCAGGGAGGGTGTGTGTGCGCATGCGTGTGTGTTGGAGAAAGGAGTACACAGTTTTAAATGAGGTGGTCAGAGAAGACCTCCCTGAGACCGAGACATTTCAGCAAAGACTTGATGATGAGCAAGCCACCCGTGACTCAGAAAAAAAGTGCATTTCAGGCAGAGTGAAGGCAATGTGCCATAACCGAGAGGAGACAGAATAAACTACAAGGTGCCTGAGAAAGAATGTGGACCCTAGAGGCCCTGGAGACAAGAGGTTGTAGGGACAGTAGTAGGAGATGGTAGAGATCTTGTAGGGCATCAAAACAACTCTGGATTTTGCTCTTGTCAGCTGATTTGGAGTTTTTGAACAGGAGTGACATGGACTGACCTGGATGGAAATAGGCTCCTTTTCTTGGTGTCTTGAGAAGAAACTGGGTGCCAAGATGTGTGGTAGGGAGATGCCAACACAGGCCATGCTAACAGTCTGAGTGACACATGGCAGTGGCTTACAACACAATCGGAGCAGTTGTCCTGTTAATGTTTGGACTCTGGATGAAATTTGAATGTCAAGCTAAGAAGATTTGCTAAAAAATTGCAAGTAAGGTTGCAAAAATGATAGAAGTGACTTTAAGGTTTGGAGTTTATAAGCTGTGAAGGCTAAATTACGGTTGACTGAGACAACAGCATGGGAGGAGCAGGTTTGGAGGAGTGAGGCAGAAGGGTGAGACTTTATTTTTAGAAGTGTCAAAGCTCCTGGGAGACTTACTTTTAAAAGTGTTACTACACATAGGTTTGCCCTATTCTGTCAACTGTGTGAGGCTGGAGGGACTTACCAAGTGCATATTCATTTAGAAGCTACTGAAGGAGAAGAAAAAGTAATAGAATAGCTCTCTGGCCTCTTACTTAAAGAGACAGAGTCTGGATCCATCACGAAATGTTAACAAGAAAGGGAACCAGCTGTCACCATACAGCACAGACTGTGGTATCAAGCCCACAACTGTCTCTTACCACTCAGAACTGGCTCCGGACTGGAGGTTGAGTAATGTTCTAAATAGCAAACTTCCAACAGCCAGAAAATCCCCTTGGTAGCAACAACCATGTTCTGAAATTGGATTTTGAGTTACTCCACCTAGGTTTAAGTAGACAGTGGGTAAAGGATGCTGCCGAAATGTGAACTCAGCTAGGAAGAAGATGAAGTCTAGGGTCTGACAGCTACTATTAACTTCTAGAGTCAGATCTGTTGAGATGGAAAATTCAGAAGAAGCGTTCAGCTCCTGGGAAATATGGTGCTTTTCCTCTTTACTAACTTTGGTTTGTAGATGTCAGTTTTTCTGAAACTGAGATTTCTAATCTGTGAAGTGAAAAGGACAAATCTGTCCTTCCCGGGCACAGTTCTGAGACTCAAATGAAATCATTTAAAGACCACAAAGCCTCAGAAATATCAGAATCCAACAGTATTTATCAAATCCAAGTAATATAGACCTGTTGTGGGAATCCATACTCAGCTTGCCTACAGCAGTATTTCCTTTCACATTTGCACCTCTGCAACTTGTAGGCATATTTTATGTGTTCTATTTTGACAGGATATTTACAGAAAGCCATAGAAGCATGTCTATTTAATAAACCTGACCCAGCCGGGTGTGGTGGTGCATGCCTGTAATCCCAGAACTCGGGAGGCTGAGGCAAGAGGATCATCATGAGTTCAAGGCCAGCCTGGACTACATAGTGAGACCCTGTCTCAAAAACAACAACAAAAAGAAACAAGTAAGCAAATCTGATCCAAAGATCAACGCCTTGCCTTACTAAAGATCGTGTCTGGTATATACCTTCTTTAATAATTACTATGTTTCTTTCTAAATTAATTCAAGTTTAAAATGAGTTTTACAAATGAGTTGGGTGTGGTAGCACCCTCGTAATCCCAGCACTCAGGAGGCTGAGGCAGGAGAATCATTTTGAGTTCGAGACCAGCCTGGGCTACAAAGCGAGCTCAAGGCCAGCCTGAACTGCATAGTGAGACCCTGTCTCAAAAAGACCAAAAAAAAAAAAAAAAAAAAACTAAATAAAATATTCCCCCTTAAAAAAAAAATACTACAGGTCAAGTTCTTTTTGATCCCAATGTACAAGCCTGATTTATTTTCTACAGCCCCCAAGGCAATCATTAGTCCCAGGATGATACAAACCTTTTACAGGATATAGATGATAGATAGATAGATAGATCCCCTCTGACTTAGCATCACTGCATGGGTTGTTATTACTAGTGAGTTTTTTTAATAAAAGTTATGCATGCATCTACTACAAGCTTGTTGCACTTAATAATGTCTCAATAAATCTTTGTTAGTACATGTAATATTATCTCATTCTTTTTAACTAATGTAAGTAATCTATGTATTAGTTTATAAAGGATTGTCATATCAGAGTTTTTCATATTGTTGTTCCTCCCAGTTGCTGAATCCCTTCATGATCTTCCTGTTTTTTATAAAGTCCTTTGATAAGGCTATCCAACCCTCTAGCTTCAGCTTCCTAGGTTAGATAGATGAGACCACATTTTAGCTTCCCTGTTTCCTACTTCAGATATCATTCACAGAAGAGCAGTGAGCTTCTCCATTTTTAAAATGGTGCTAGAATGCTTCTGGGCTGCCTGAGTTGACGCCAGCACCACTAACCACACACAGCAGCATCTGACATTTTTCAAAAGCCCCTGGGTACTTGATGTCAGGGGAGTGGGCAGTCCCCTGGGGCAACTGATGACTCACAGACTCCTCAGCTGCTTTGTTTTCAAGGCAGAACTAGAAAATAGGATTACCTCTATTTTTAGATTTCTCCAGGACAAGGAAAACTACAGTCTGTTTTGCAAACAACTAGTACGCCTTGGAACATCACAACTTTTAAAAATTTACTAACAATTTCTAAGAGTTGGAGGGAAAGGCATATACAAAGAAGAAAAATTAGAAATTCAAGGTATTTAATCCAATGCCACATCAAAGATGCATTTCACTAAAAAAAAAAAAAAAAAAAAAAAAAACAGCTTGGAGCAACATAGCCTGAGGTGGTGTCATGTAATTATTCACTCAACAATTATTTATTGAGGCAGGTACTGCAGGTACTACAGTATGTGTGTTCCATTCACGAAGACAGAGACTTTGTCTTGTTCTTTGCAATGTCCCCAGCATCTGTAGTAAAGACTCAATAAATAGAAAAGAGATGCTGTAGGGCAATATCTAAAACAGTAGGTACAAATGGGCACATAAAAAATGAGTTTGATAAGTGTAAGAAAGTAGAAAACAAGAGCTATTTAGTGTTTGCTTAGAAATTTATGCTGAATTTCTAAAAGATATGTGTAGGAGTCACCCAAATCCAGTAGAGAAGAGCTAAAGAGTGCTATTTTCCTCAGAGAAAATAAAGATCTAAGTGAGCCCGGACCCTGAACCAACTTCCGCAGTGTCACTCACCCCAAGCCACCTGCGATGGAGAATCAACATGTCTCATATCTGCAAAGTCACACTGGAGAGTGTGATGATGAGTGTGAGAGTGTGATTTGGTGACATGATGATGTCACCAAAGCAAAAGCCACCCAAAGGTCCTCCTAGGGTCTCTTGTTTCTGTTTCTACGTCTCTCACTCCTCCTTTCAGTAGAAGCATTTTGTTGCCCTTTGAAGAACACCCCTAAAGCCATGAGTTGGATCTGACAAGGAAGATACCACATCCATCACCTCTGGCCCCACCAAGGGCTGGACACTGACCAAAAGGTGCAATTAAACACTCCTTTCACCATTTTCACCTGAGGGCTGGAGATATAGCTCAGTGGTACAAGCACTGGCCTGGCAAGAGCAAAGTCCTGAGTTCAATTCCTGGTTTTTTTTTTTTTGGTTTTTCTCCGGTACCAGGAACCGAACTCACGACCTTGCGCTTGCCAGGCAGGCGCTTTTGCCGCTGAGCTAAATCCCCAGCCC